GATGAGGATGATGATGGAAAGTGTTGCTCATGGTAAGGTGATACTCACGGGGAGGGTGTGATGGGCTAAACTCAATTCGAGCGGAACTCTGGTTTCAACGCTGGAGGACTCCATGGTAATTGGCGCTGCTCTACGCCAACGAGATTTGCGAACCGAATCCCCACTGTAAATGTAAATGAACAGCTATTGAACACCCATATTCAACCCATTTTGTTTATCAGCTCTAACCCATATAGACAATTTCTTTTACGTCTTCATTTTACTCGGTCTTGACTCGCTAAAAAAAAACTCTGCTCGAGACAAAGAGCGAGCGGGCGTTTTCATTGACTTGACTCGCTATAGTCTCCCCTTTTTACTCGGTCTTGGACTTCTATTTGATCTCCTCCTCTTCATCCCCATATCTCTTCCCTTCTTTAAAATTAGATTTTCAATTTTCAATTTCTTTTTAATTTTTATGTTTTATATCAGTTTATTGGAAAAGTATGCGTTGCTATTCTTTTCCTATGTTGAAACATACTTGAGTGGCAATTATATCCTACACTGCAAACACTTTTGACTCTCACGAATCAAGTCTTAAAGAGTCGATAGTTGGAAAGTATAATTGAAAGCAAGAAAGAAAAAAGTTTAATATATGTTATTGACAAGATAAAAGGAAAACAATAGTCTTATACTTAAGTGAACCATAAAATTAAGAAAAGCTCATGTTAGCATCAAAATAAAGCCTCAACATATTTCTTAATTTATGGATGGCCTATGTTGGACTTTCACCACCACCTTCATGCCTCCATCTATAACCGTACCCCAAGCTCCCTCAATAACTTAACGAGACAGTCTATGGAGCTGCCCATTCTTCAAAGGCAACAATTTAAGGTAAAAAATTGCTACAAATGGATTTGGGTCTAGTCGGGTACGGACGAGTCTGGGTCGACATGTTTGTAGTTTACGTAAATTTGTCAAAACAGATTTGTGTCGAACCATTTTCAACCGAAGCCACTCATTGGACGGGTGTATATAGAATATACCTAATCTAGACACAAGTCTGACCGAGTATATATTACAGGAAATTAACAAAGATCAATATTCCACAATACACTACAGTTTTTGCTTATCTACAAAACAACATTCAAATCAAAAAATGGCATATTATAGGAAGAAGGACTAAACTAATGATTCATACTAGTAGAATTTTGTTGTTTGGTTGATAAATGAATGCTTACTTCGTAAAATTACACCATATATCTCCAAAACAAATATTTAAATAAATCAACTTCTAGTCGGTGCAACGCATGAGACTTCAACTAGTTTTGTAATAATGATTTATTGCCTCGTTCTTATACATTAGATTAATTTATTTTGATTAGATTATGTTTATCTTGATCATCAAGTTACTATCAAGAGGAAGTTTCATAGAAGGGAGTGGCAGGGATGGGGCTTGTTGGGCTTGACGAGGCTTAATAAATTAATAATAATAAATTATAATAAACATATCTAAAGGGCCTCATTGTTTAAGAAATTCGAGGCCCCGTCCCATGTGCATCACATAGGAATTTGGATCCACTTTTACTTTTGTTGCACTAATTTACCCAATTATTGATGTTTCTTGGAATTAGCAACTTCGGCTAGATGCATAAGCAACAACACATGCTTTCAATCAGTCTCGTTCAGCAGGACAAGCAATATGGTAACTGTAACATGTCTTGCTTCAAGCAAGCTCATTGACAATCGGAGGGCTTGGATCTAAGATAAATCTGCTCAAAACGGAATTTTGTTTAATTAGGTCCCAAAACCAATTGGAAAAGATCCTATTAAATATACAATATAACTAATCTAGACACAAGTCTTACCGAGTATAGATCACGGGAAGTCTACAAAGATCAAGATCCCACAATATGCTATAGTTTTTGCTAATCAAATATAAAAATCTACATAACAACATTCAAATGCAATATCGCATATTTTAGGAAGAAAGACTAAACGAATGATTCATACGTACCTAGGAAAGTTTTGTTGTTTGATTGATATATGAATGCTCACTTCGTGAAATTATAGTATATATCTCCAAAACAAATATTTCAACAAATCAACTTTAGGTATGGGGAACGCATGGGACTTCATCTAGTTTGGTAATAATGGTTTACTATCTCGTTATTATGCAATCTGCATGAATTAAACACCACCAGATTATAGTATATCTGCTTATCTTGATAATTAAGTTGCTATCAAGAGGAAATTTCATGGAAGGAAGTGGTAGGGTTGGGGTAGAGTTGGGCTTGAAGAGGTTTAATATTTAATAATAATAACTCCTAATACATTTTTCTAAAGGGGTCTCATGATTCATGGTAAAAAAAGTTCGACCTTGTCGGCTTGATTCTATCCCCATGTGCATCAGTTTTGATGGCAAATCTGTTATTATTATTATTATTATTATTATTATTATTATTATTATATATTTTGGTTTCCTGATATCAGCAACAGCAGCTGGAGCATCAGGAGCGCTTGGAAATCTAGATCTAAGATGAATCTGCTCAAAAGGGCTTGCTCTATTTTCAGACTCTTTGATCCTGCCTGCAACATTTCAAAACAAAAAAGTGAACCAAGAGACCTATTCAATCACTGAACAATTGAAAGAGGAAACAGGTTATTTTTAAGTGAAATAAATCATAGCACTGTAGCCTCGTGATGAACAATATGAACGAATGTTATTCTTCGGCTTTGAAGGCCTTGTATCTCTTGAATGAGAGCCTTTAGCTTCATAATGTGCCGTTGGCAAACGGGCACTGGGAATTTCTGATCTTCGCTAGCAGGACTGGATTTCGTCATCAGCTTGTTTGGCGAGGCCAAGCACGATGGCGACTTTAATTCCCTCCTTTCTCTAGGCAAATTGATGTCCTCCCCAATTCTTGCCGAGACATCATCGATCTCATCCACCTCGGGGTCTAACAATTTCTTGGAATTATATACGGTTTCGAGGGATATTCTATCTTGGATGCACTTTTATCGAATATTAGGATATGAAAGATTGAGTCCCCTTCATATGAAAAGACTAGAAATGTCCATGATTGATGGAATAATAATCTAAGAAATTGCTCCATCATTTGGAAAGCCATACCGTGTCATTGCACTTAGCTAGTTCACTGGCCAATTTGCATCCCCTGGAACTTTGAGAAACAATTGGTTTGGCAGGCGGTTACCGTACCTTATCATGCTAAAGCAGCTCTTTTTCTATGAACCGCTTTCGTGTCATCTACGTACGATGAAATTTTAAGCCTATGTCATTAGGAAAAAGTTGAATCGAAAGATAGTAAGATGCATTTGGTTTATGTGAACCCAATGCATCACAACTATGGGATCGTGAGAAATGCATCACACCCAGCTATTAAATCATGCCATTCCTATGAGGGACAGTGGTGCACCAGGCTGGATGAGCTACCACAGTAAATTAACAACTATTGAGTTTGCACAAAAAGAGCATGGTTCTGATACTAAAGTTACAAATAGAATAATAGTGAGAATGGTTTGATACCTTAACTTCAAAGTTATGACCTGTGGCTTATTTATACGTTCCAAAACCAATTGGACAAAGATCCTGTTAGGTATAGAATATAACCAATCTAGACACAAGTCTGACCAAGTATATTACAGGAAATCAACAAAGGTTAAGACCCCACAATATACTTCAGTTTGTGCTTCTCTACATAACAACATTCAATTGAAATATGACATTTAGAAATAAAGACTAAACTAATGATTCATATGTTCCTAGTAAGATTTTGTTGTTTGGTTGATAAATGAATGCTGACTTCGAAAATTACACCATATATCTCCAGAACAAATATTTCAATAAATCAACTTTTAGTCGTGCAACGCATGGGACTTAAATTAGTTTGATAATAATGGTTTATTGCCTCGTTTTTATACATTATATTATTATTGCTACGTTAATTCAGCACCTACAGATTATTTTATATTTGTTTATGTTGATTATTAAATTACTATCAAGAGGAAGTTTCATAGAAGGGAGTGGTAGGGTTGGGCTTGGAGACACTTACTAAATTAATAATAATAATTAATAATAACTTTATCTAAAGAGCCTCATTGTTTAAGAAATTCGAGGTCCCGTCCCACGCGTATCACTTAGGAATTCGGACCCACTTTTACTTTTGTTGCACTAATTTACACGATTATAAATGTTTCTTGGTACCAGCAACTCCGGCTAAACGCATAAGCAATATAGCACATGCTTTTCGATCTGTCTCGAATAGTTGGACGAGTAATATAGTAACCGCAACATGTCTTGCCTCGATCAAGCTCATTGACAATCAAGGATGCTCCGATTTCAATTTCCTGGCTTTTTTCAGAGCATCAGGAGGGCTTGGATCTAAGATAAATCTGCTCAAAATGGAATTTTGTTAATTAGGTCCCAAAACCATGAACATAGGAGAGCTTGTTATTATCTCTACTTGTGGAGGTCAAGGAATTCAATTTACGAATGCCACCTTGGAAACCTATCCATTACCACTACCCAAGAAAAAGTGTTAAGAAACATCTTTGTCCGAATTAACGGGACACCTCGCGTGTGAAAGTATGTACAAGGTGATTACTCTGTCTTGGGCTATAGGCAGAAGCAAGCAGTTGTGGAGAATAGCTTAGTTTCTGATTATTTTGTCTGCTCCTCATCAATGGAAACAAAGGCACGTAACAGAATGAATGTAGAAACAGAACTCCATACATCATTTGTTGTTACGGCTAAGAGAATGACTTGCATTGTGATGATAAGAGGAGAAGTTCATGCGGGGACAGAATTATTAAATACATCAGATTTTCTAGAAGTGATTGTTGATGTCTAATCGAAACTGGACTTTTTGCATCTGTTTCCACAGTGAAATTATGTCCTGACATCTTAGACTTCGTTTCTCTACTTCCTTACATTTTTGTCGTGCAACTGAATTGTGTACGTCCGTGCCTCTACAACTTTCAAGCTAAAGCTGGAACTCGCTCGAACTGGCTCGGCAACTCTCTCAATGGTCAGTCCTCTTTTTGGCCTTTGAGATATAGTCTGATCTCTTTCACGAAAAGGAAATTTGATTGCTCTTTGATATGCGGACTCTTTTCACATGCTCAAATAATGTGAAACTGAAATATGTGGGCATATGCTGCTTTGAAGTTTGCCGATGCGTGCCTGCCTGGGTTGAGGGGCGACGCTGGTATTGTCGAGTGTGCATTTGTTCCTTCTCAGGTTTGGTGCCTTAAAATAACTTGTTGAGATTGAAAAATCTTTGTATTTCTCTCAAATCCAAAATGAAACCACCAATGATGTTCTTTATTGCTATCCACGTATTTCAGGTGACTAAGCTTCCATTCTTTGCATCCAAAGTGCCTTGGTTGTACTGGGGCCGAGGAGGTTCTTCCCCTTGGTCCGCTGAATGAGTACGAAAGGTCTGGAGTTTTAATAATCTCGAATTTTTTATGTATGTTATGATTGCATCAAAGGAAGAAGTTTTTCAATTTCACGTTTGTTTGTTAACCTGTAGAGCTGGCTTGGAAAAGGCAAAGAAAGAGTTAGCAGAGAGTATTTAGAAGGGCATTTCATTCATCAAGAAGTGAACGGGTTAAAGACGTTGCTTTTCGGAGCGGAAGAGATGGCCTCTTCATAGTTTCCGGTTATTTTCTACTCCAAAATTGGTTCTTGGGAATAAGTGGTTCAGACCCGGGAAGATATCGAAGTTTATTCTGCATAGCTGACGTAGGAAACACAGAGGTTTTTCTTTTCTCGAATATAACGTACTTGAATGGTAATTTGTGTAATAACAAGGTGGATGGATGTTTGTATATTATAGTTATATGTTCATTGTCTCTGTGTTTGCATCCACGTTTTCGACTTTCTTATGCACTTGTCTTGTCGCCTCCAAGTTGCACTTCAATTGTGCAATGCTGGTATAAGCAAATGATAGATAGAGAGTGCCCAACAAGCCGAAGCTCGTCTTTGTCACCAAGCTTGAAGTTTAAGAGACTCGAGTGCAGCTTTTTCTCGCTTTGTGCAAATGATTTAAGAGACAAATGAGCAAAAGAGAGCCACTGCAGAGACTCTTCTTGGGTGTAGTGGGCAAAGGGAGTTGAAATTATCATTTGGACACCAAAAGCACAAGTTTGAGAATTTTCAATTGGAGATGCCTCTCCACTGATTCTCCCTAATCACCAGCAGCGATTTCTCACACCAAGTTCTCCTCACGCAGAGCATTCAGAGTAAAAGACTTTAGTGTTTTCCCCACGAGTGCAAGGATTCGTGTTTTTTTCTTTGACTTGCAAAAGTTCAAGTAAAATTTGTTCCGTTTGAGTAATTAAATATTAAATCATACTTTCATCTAATATCTTAAGTTTTTATAAGAGTTGAAAGTGGTATCATTAAAATCTCCCACGTTCAGAGTAGAGTTTTTCTTTTGTTCTCTTTTTGTATTTGGGCATCAGTGGAAACTTCAAAGGACAACCCCTGAAGAGGGCGGCTCAGATCCATAAAAATAATGCTAAAAAAGTACGCCACTCAGGCCTGGTTAGATCTGTTCTTAGGAACCGGAGCCAAACCCTACAATGTCTTGAAGCTCAAACACTTTCCACTTTCTAGTTCTCCCTCTCGGATCTAGGCTCTCTCCCTCTTTTCTCCGGCGGCTCCCTTCAATCTCTCTCTCTCTAGTCTTGACTAAGTCCCTGTCTCATCTCATCTCTCTCCATCTCGACTCAGTCGCTGTCTCATCTCACTCGGCCGTCGATCAGCGCACTACGTACTCTCTTTTTATATCGGTGTCGTTCTCAATTTCTTGGTCGAATGCCATTGCCAATTGATGGCTGTGAGTCGGTCATTAACTAAACCCATCACCTGTTTTTCATGTTTTTTCTAAACTGCGCTCCATTGATTTCTTGAGCAAGCCCATCAACTATTTTCTTTCAGCTCAATTTTGTCTCGAGTCTCGATTGTTTCGTGCCATGGCACCAGCCACTCACATATCGGGAATGGAGTTCGAAGTGTTCCTGAGTTTCAGAGGGCCGGATACTCGGCGCAACTTCACTAGTTGCCTCTACCGTGAAATGGTGGAGAAAGGAATCCGCGTCTTCAAAGACGACAAAGAGCTCCGAGTCGGGGAGAAGATTAGTGGAAACCTTTTGCAAGCCCTTGACGACACTCGAATCTATATCCCCATCTTCTCTAAAGGCTTCGCTTCCAGTCCGTGGTGTCTCCGTGAGGTTGCGCATATGGTAGATTGCATTTCAAAGTCGGATGGGAAGAAGGAGATCCTCCCCGTTTTCTTCGATGTGGAGCCGAATGATGTCAAGCTCAAAACCGAATTGTACAAAAATGCACTGTCTGAGCATGAGGGGAAGTATGGCCCTGAAGAGGTGAAGCGCTGGGCAGATGCTCTTGTTGAGGTTCCTACTACGGTTGGCTGGACGCTGGGAGAGAAAGAGTAAAATTCCATAACTTTTTCCAGCTATTAAATTTTAATATGACGCATTTTTTCTTATACATATGAAAATATCTCATATTCAATTTATCTTCTAGTCACTATGATTTCTCTCTATAATTGATACGTAGTTTGAAAAAATTTAATGCGAATATTGAAGTCATTGTCAAGTTGTGGTTAGATGCTAAGTTTTAGTATCCTGTTTGGTTGTCAAAAACCTAAAAACAAATTTAAATAGCAAAATAAATATTTTTCAACAATTTAGCAAAAAGGGAAAAGTAGAAACGACAAAAAGACAAATATTAATGCTTATTCAGTGTTGATCAAACATACTGATTTTGTACTACTAGCAGATGAACTAATTATTATATATTTGATCAATCTCAAAATATCGCCTGCACATTAAAATAAAAAAAAATCATTTGATGATTATCATATTTCAACAAAGAACCATTTATTAGCTTTATCAGGATTTAGACATAGAGACTTGGAGACGCGGCATAAAGTGAACCTTCTATGCCGCTTATATATATTTTCATGAGCATTCTATGACATGAGTTAATTGTTGCTGATATTGAATTTTTAACAAGCCAAAGGCCTCGTTAATTCTCATTTATTTAATCTATGAATAAGTAGAAGGACAAAATAGTCATAAAGATATAATTAACTTCTTTTCCACTCTCTTCTCTGCTTCAACCAAATATGAAATGGCTTAATTTCCTTAATTTTCTTTTTTTTATCTTTCGTAAGCATACAAACAACCGTAAAATCAACCGTTTCTTTCTCTTGGTCATTACCCGAATCCCTTTCATTTTCTCTTAGTCACTGCATCCAAACTGAGTGCCAGTGTTTAAACCCAATCAATGAGAGTTTGGGTAGCAGTGTTAGGGTTTAAACCCAACCAATTCAAGTCTGGCCAGCAGCCACAGTAGCTAATTTGAGCCCTTTATAAGTTGGATAATTTCATTGTAACTCGGGGTTGTTATGTTTCAATGAAATCAAATTTGTTATTTGAAAAACTGCCACTCTTTGCAAAACGGTCTTAATATATGTGGCTTATCTTATTCAAATCGGATATACTTGAAAGCTAGGGATAGTGCTTTGTCATCATTTTCTCAATCTGAATTTGTCCACCGTCTCCGTATGGCAGGTTTGGAGAACTTATAGGATCGATTGTTCGAGATGTTCAACTTAAGTTGAAGATGAAGATCAGATGTCTTCCTGACCATCTAGTTAAAGTGGACGACGAAAAAGTTATAGAGGAATTGTTGGATGTTAACCCTGATGACGTATTCGACCAAAAAAAAAAAAGAAGAAAAAACCCTGATGGCGTACGATTCATAATAATCCATGGGATTGGTGGTATTGGTAAATCAACTCTAGCTAAGGTTATCTTCAACAAATTCTTGTCTAAATTCAGTTACTCTAGTTTCCTTGAAGATGTCCAAGGTCATCGTCTTTTAGACATGCAAAAGAAACTGTTATCTGACACACTAGGCGAGAGCTCTGCTTACGGAATCCATGACACTAACGACGGGATCAATCGCATAAGAAACGGACTTAGCAAGAAAAAGGTTATGGTTGTTGTCGATAATGTGAATGACAAGGAGCAACTCAAGAACCTCGCAGGGAGCTACAAATGGTTCGGTTTCGGAAGCAGGATCATCATTACAGTCAGGGACAAAAGGACAATACCATATAGGACGATGCCAGATGAGGACAACCAAACGGGATCTAGCTATTACAGGTACCACCAAGTAGAGGAGATGCCTCTGGATCGAGCGATTATGCTTTTCAGCAAGCATGCCTTCAGAAGTGATACTCCTCCAAAAGATTGGCACAATTTCTCGGTAGAAGTCGTTTCAAGCATAGGAAGGCTTCCTTTGACTCTTGAAGTCATGGGTTCTCTTTTCGCCAACACAGACAGATCGGAGTGGCACGAGACATTTAAGGACTTAGAGCAAGTCCCGTGTGAGGAAGTCCGAAAGACACTAATGATAAGTCTCAACAAATTGGATCTCCGAAAAAGAGAAATATTCCTAGACATAGCATGCTTTTGCATTGGGGAGGATACGACGCATGCGTATTACATGTGGGATGATTGTGGATATTCTCCACGTAGAGCAATTGATGATCTGCTCCTCATGTCATTGATAAAAATTGATGAGTACAATAAGTTCTGGATGCATGACGAAATTCGAGATCTAGGAAGGTATATTGTCAAGGAAGAGAATTTGGGAGATGCTAGAAAGCGCCGTTGGGTGTGGATTGACGAGAACACTTTAGACGTATTGACGAGCAATGAGGTGAAAGTCACTAACGGTAGAAGATATGGTCAATCCATGAAAATCTTTCATTATGTGTTTAAAAATCGAGAATATTGGTTGATGACCTGCTTTGTTCACTAGTTTATAAAGAAATAGAAAGCAACTCTATAAACAACAAAACTGTGTGTTGATCCCCATTTTCATTCGTTTCTTATTTTGGTGAGAATGAAAATGAGTTCTTTGTTTCCATCCTTGAAAAGGTGTTTTGTATGTGAAACGAAAGAAATGTCAACACTGAATGAACATTTTAAACATGCTTGGTTTGTCTTCTTTTCAAATTGATAACAAATAAGGTGGCTGTTTTTTTTTTTTTACAACATATCGACAAATTTAATCAGTTTGGGGTCTAAGAAGAACCACTGACATTGATGACTACTTTCTTGGTTTATTGCTTTCTATGTTGCAATCATCTTTATTCTTTGCTACTACTGGCAGGAAAACCCAGCTGTACGAGCACTCAGTCTGGGTATTAGTCACGACTTTACACCTAAAGAATTAGCTCGTTTTCCAAACCTGAGGTTCCTTGGAGGGGAAAGAATGAATTTCGTGGGCAACTTCAAAAATCTTCTTCCCAATCTAAGATGGCTTTCTTGGCGTTATTGCCCAGAGAATATTAGAGCGAGAAATCTTCAACCGGTGAATTTGGTCGTGCTCAACCTTTCGCGAAGCAAAATCACCCACAAATGGGGTGGATGGAGGCAAATCCAGGTACCGACACTCCTCGCTTATATTCCCTTCAAATTCTATTGATTGACCTTTGCTAGCTAGATGTATTCTACTGTATTCTCATTCTTTTCGTTGGCATGTCATCGGCCTTGTTTTTCCACTACAGATGGTGAAAAAGTTAAAAGTTCTAGATTTGTCGTGGTGCCCATGGTTAACCGCGACACCTGATTTTTCCGAGTTTGGCAAGTTGGAGAAATTGATTCTCACTAGGTGTACGAAATTGTCTACAATTGATAGCTCAATTGGAAAGCTAAAACAGCTAAGTGCTTTGAATTTCGAGGGATGTAGCTCCCTTCAAGGGTTGCCCAAAGAAATCGGTTCCCTTGAATGCTTGTCAGAGATTTTCCTTTGCTCAACAAGGAAACATTTTAAATTTCCTGAGACACTAGGCAATCTAAAATCTTTGACCAAGTTTGAAATTTTTCATTGTCGGGGTATCAACCAACTTCCTCAATCTATTAGAAAGTTAACGAATCTCACGCATTTGATTTTGCGTGAATGCGAAACTTTGCGTGAGCTTCCGGACTCTCTTGGGGAACTAGAATCATTGGTCGAGTTGGGTATACGAAGGTCATTTATCTCCACTCTCCCTGATTCCATTGGAAATCTGAAGAGGCTAAAAGTCATTAGGATGGCACGTTCAAGAATACAGGCGATACCTTATGCTCTTGGACAAGTGGTGACGCTCAAAGTGCTCGATGCCTCGTGTTGTTGGCATATCAAGGATGAAATCCCATGGGAAAAGTGGAGCCTGACTCATCTGAGGACCTTGGACTTATATATGACCACAATCTCTACATTGCCGTAAAAAATCAGTGGTTTCTCTAGTCTCCAAACGCTTAAATTTAAAATTGCAAGGAGCTGGCTTTGCCCATTGCTAGAGCTTCCCTCGAGTTTGAAATTCCTTGAGGTGGTGGCCGTTGATAAATTCAATGTTCTTCCTGACCTCTCGAGCCTAATCCACTTGGATCATCTCGACTTGTGTGGACCATTGACTGCACCTTGCAGCGAGAACGAGAATGAGGTCATGCTGTCCATCCATAGGCTTCCGCGTAGCTTATCAACCTTGAAACTTCTCTATATCCCGCAATTGCCAGATTTTTCCGACCTCAGAAGCTTGTCGGTTCTCACTATCAGCGGATGTCCGATGCCACACTTCCCCGTCCTTAAATCCTTGGAGAGGTTAAGGAAATTGGACATAATTCTGTGCAAATTCCTAGAGAAGACACCCGATCTTTTGGGCTTGAAGAGGCTAGAAGAGTTACAGCTCAGCCACTTAGACAAACTAACTGAGATTCCAGGTTTGGGTGAACTGGAATCACTGAAGTTTTTACACATTCGGTACTGTTGGGGGATCGAACAATTGCCTAACCTCTCGAAGTTGAAGGATCTACGGAATCTCAAGATAATTGGTAGCTCTAAGATTAGAGCCTTGGAAGGCTTGGAAGAATTGATTTCTTTGAAGAATGCGGAGGTCTTGCAATGCAAGTCCCTAGAAAGGTTGCCCGATTTGTCGGCATTCACCGAGTTGAAGACAGATTGGAAGCCGCCAGAATTTGCAGAATACACCGTTCAGTCTAATATGCCTGAACTCTCCGCCACCTTTCGTAGGGGTGTCCAAAAGCCCCGCCCGGCCCGTCCCGCGCCCGCGCCGGCCTTTTTGTCTTCTTTGCTTGAAGGCTTGTAAGTGTGGGTATTAGAAGGGTTAGGGTAGGGTCGGATCGGATCGGGTCTGACCCATCGACACCGGGACCACCCAGTTACCCACTCATCTCCCCCTCTCTCTCGCTCCCTTCTCCTCTCCTCTCCCTCTACACAGAGCGTGACAATACCCCAACACCGATCGCCCCTCCGCTCGCCGTGAACTTCAGGCGACTAATAGCCTTTGCCTCCATCACCGTTCGCTTCCTTGAGTGTGCGACGAAACCCTAGTCGCATGCAGGTGAGCGATCTCATCACGGCAATGGGCGACAGAGACGACAGCTCGTTTCCGCCTCTCTTTCTGTCGATTCCGTTGGATATCTTCTTGCGTGCTATCGTGAATTCTCGCGACTTGAACTCTGCCTTTTCGTTGGGTGTTCGTGGGAATCGGTTCTTGGGGGTGCGAAGCACAGAATCGGCTCTGATTGCAGAAATCCCTGCAGGACTCCTCGAGAAGCCCAAGAAATGCCGTAGCCCCTTATTTCTACGAACTGGTGCTTTCCTCCACAATCCAAGACAAGAGGCTGGTGAGGATTCGCTGTCCCGACTTCGCTTTCCGTTGTGTTCCTTTCGACGATTCCTCGCGCGATTCCTCAATTCGATTGCGTTCTGTCTGTGATTGTTTGGCCTTGCATTTTCAAGTGCTGTTTTTTTTTTGTTGGGTTTGTATTTTTATTTTTTCTTGTTGGGTAGTGATTTCTGGTAAATTCGAAGCCGCGATGACCTAGATTTGATTCATGGCCCGTTACAATTGAGACCCAGGAAATAGTTTCGGCCAGAAATCTTGGTGAAAGAGAAAAAAGATTGAGGTCTATGATGATTGCTCTGCTATTTGGAGGCAACGGGTAAACTTAATTTAGGGTGGTCAAATGGTATTAGAGCTTGATTTTCCGGAGGCATTTTCTGGTCGTCTGGCTCATAGAGAATTCGAATTGGTGAAGTTGTGTTATATCTTAAGTACAAAGTTTCAGTCGAAACCATGGGTGAGGAGGTCAAATTGCTTTGTATGAGTGGTTGCATAAGTATCTGCTGCATGGAAGGCTTTAAGCTCAACTTTTAATTCACCATGCAGCATTTGCTCGACTCTTTTGCTTTGCAATCTGTGGGAAACTGGTATTTTGATGGGTGATGAATGTATAGGTGATGTGTACTTTCTGGTAATGGGTGGCAATGGCAACTTTGAGTTCTGTGCTGTAAGTCTGTTGGGTTATGGTAGCTTATTGGATGATTTTGTTGGATGCTCTACCGCTAATTATGTTATTTTGCCGTTGTTTGCGATTATTCGAGTGTTGCCAGAAATATCGAGCTGTGTCGGCTTCTGGCTAGGTTCGGGGAAGTTTGTTTCGGTCTCAATGTTGGAGTGTACACAGTACGGTAGTTGTTAATTTGGAAAGATAAATGCAGGGGGATTTCGTTAGATTTTGGTTTTACGCTCGATTAGTTAGTGTGAATATCGATTAAGGTTGTGCAGGTCGAGTTCTTGACTTCCTGTATTGATGCACTTGGATATGGAAACTAAAGAAAAGGGAAAATGGTCCTATATCTCACTAGGAGCTGGATCATCATTACATGTTTTTGATATCTTGTGTTGTGGCATTTGCACCTTCACCTTGATGGAGCAATTTACTTTTTGTATGTCATTGCCAAGTGTACTTTTCTGCTGCTATGTATCTTTGACTCCTCAATTCTTGAACCGGGTGCTTCTTGATGTCTTCACATAACTACGGTCTTCTGGCGACTTATGACTTATGACTTTGACAGGGTTTGCTAGGGATTTTCAACACCGATCAGCAACTTAGTGACCTGGAATAACAGAACATTCAATCTTTTTCCACCAAAATCTGGTGAGTTTTTTTGTTCAAATTAACATTCAATATTCAGATAACTAAGAGTTGTCTTATGTATGCTTTTCTTGTATTTGTCAAGAGTATGTTGAGGACTACATTTCTGATTGTAATAATAGTTTGCAGGTTCTAAGTGTCGTAGATAGAAGGATTGCTAAATGTCTAAAGTAAGTGCTTCTAGTGTCACACCAAGAAGGACGAGATCTACAGTGTGGGAACACTTTAAATATATTCCTGATCAAGAAAAGGCTGAATGTATATATTGTGGGGCCTATATTAGTTGTGCTAGTGGTCAAGGGACCAGTTTGATCCCATCGAAGCAAAACGTTAGTTCTCATTTCAGCTATTGTTTGCTTACCTGTAGAGCTGGCAGGGAAAAAAGGCCAAGAAAAAGAAAGGCGCCACCGCACGTGGATTAGAACCAAATTTGCGGCCCCACGTGGAGGAAAGCCAGATTGACAAGGCACATTCGCCACCGACATGAGCTAATCCAAGTGTTCACTTCTTGAGCCATCTATTATATTTCTTGATGGTGTTGAAAAGATATTTTCGTTCTCAAATTGAATTGTTTGCGATGGACGAAGTTATTATGCTCTATCCATTTCAATCATCTCTAAAGTATGAACTTATCAAGTATGACTAGGCTTAACAGGTATTCACTACCAATATCTATAATATTGGTCGCATTGGGCAGGATGGCATCTCCTCCTGTTTGTGGTTTAGCGGGAAAAAAGAGGCTTTAATTAATTTTCAATTTGTCACACATTTGACGAAACAATAACGGGGACCACTGCAATAACCCAATCCGCTTATTGAAATGTTGCCTCCGTGATTTAGAGAGTGGTCCTGGTTAATTGACTCAAAAGTGTTTTCTTGGGAGATGGAGAACATATGGAATCAACATTGAGGCCTTTAGAAAACTCAAAAACGTTGCTGGAGATACGAAGCATTTACATTTATGGTCATAGGCTATCTGTTATTATGGAAATGGCCAGTGTCTTTTCGTAATGTGAAGATAACAGGATAATAAACGGAAGTAAACCGTTGCAAACTGATATTAAGACCATGTTATCCTGTATCTTTGGTTGGAGGAAACTAGCCTTTTGATTGGTGATTTATAGGAAATTATGACCTTAACTTGTATGATATATAATCTCCATTCTGGGTGAATGAATAGATGTAATTAGATTACTTTAAATGACATATATATCACACATGCAAGTAAAAAAAAAGAAATTAACAACTAAAGTTCCCTTCGTTTCACGGAAAACAACTTTCAAGAAAACGTTTTCCCGGATTTTCCAACGTTCAATTCACGGAAAATAAACTAGTCAATGAAAATATTTTCCCTCAATAGAAAAACCACCTTCAAAAGTGAAAAAAATTCCTTCTCTTTCCTCCCTACACTCCTTCACATTCATTTTCTAAAATTATTTTCATTTTTTGAATTTTTTTATAATTTTTTATTTTTATTTTTCTTTTCTTTTCTTTCTTTCTCTGCCGGTTGCCGCCCATGAATTTGACAAGTTTTATTGATTGTACTATCTAAAAACTTTAAAACTCAGATACACTTTAACAATAATTTGTAAGACTTAATTTACACTAGTTCCAAAATAAAAATTAAGAATTGAATCTTCTCGCTCCGCACCCTCCAATTCCCTCCCTTAAAAAAAATTAAAAGAGTCTGAGCATCTTTTGTATGGAAGGAGTGTATCAATTCTTGGTTCAACATTTATCATTTGTGATGATGATATCTCTTTTCCTTTCAAAATTAGTAAACTTTAGAAAATTTATTTAAGAATTTAACATTAAATTAGCTCAAAAATATTGTGCAGGACCTCGCTGGGGGGGCGCTCAGCATGTGCTCGGACGCCAGCAGATGAAGACGTAGCGCTGGAACGCGAACACGATCGAGCAAGACGAGCAACCCAATCAGGAGCAGTTACCATCATGGAGGCGGCTAGAGGGACTGGGCAGCCTCTGGCATTGTGGATGAAGAAGACCAACCTTCTCGTCCCTGTTCTTCATCTGTATGATGTTGAGAACACCGCTGGTGTCACCGCGGATATATCAGCCCCATAGACACCGGTGCCGTGGTCAGTTTAGTATGAACGGAATTGCTGGGCTCTATCTGAAGATGGAATTTGGTATAGCTGATCGTTTTCTTGGGGATATTGTTTTGGATCACCTTTTCAGATGAGTGAGCTCGGTGTCTGTTGAGTATGTGGGTCCGTGGGTTTCTGGGACAGCAACAACTGGAGGAATTGTCAAACATAAATGCTGGACTCGTCCGAACTCTTTGTGATGGAATTACCAAATGTTGCCCGAAAGCTATCGTCAACCTGATTAGCGACCCTGTTAGCTCCACAGTTCCAATCGCAGCTGAAGTTTTCAAGAGAGCTGGCACTTACGATCCAAAGAGACTGTTGGGTGTGACCATGCTCGAGGCAGTTAGAGCAAATACCTTTTGCGGCACTTATCGCTCCTGCTTCTACTGTCTTGCTGATACCATCAAGAAGCATCGAGTATCTTTACAGGGTACGGAGTATCAGGTTGTCAGCTTTGTATGAGCCTACAAACATAGAAGCGTATTTTACCTTGTTTAGCACCCTTTTTTGTCCCAAACGTTATGTCTTGCGTACCTGCAATTGATAACTTGCTCCAAGGCCATCTAACCTTTTCCCAGCTTTCGAAAAGATATTCTAAGTGGACCTGGTATTTCATTAAATAGGCTAACGCCTCATGTATTGGATCATGTGGAAGGTGTAGAAGTGAAGTTAATAAAATCGGGCTATTTCCGAGCCTAGCAGCAGAGTCCAGAAGGCCCGTTTAGTTAATTGTTTTGGGCGAAATATTGATGTAACTGCTGTTATGTGTTAGCGAGTGTTATTGGTTCTCTTCTCAGAAGATTGTTTGTGGTCAATAGATACTTGGTACCAACGCTCAGGCAGCAAAATCTGTCCAAGATACCAGTTTCGAGACAATGCCATGAAAGCCAACAACTTTTTGCCTTTCCCATGATATTGTATTGTAGGTGTTCGCAAAAATATCTCAGCACATTTCTGATCTACTATGTTCCTTGAAGGCAGAAGTACTGGGCCTTGATCCTAGAGAAGTTGGTGTTCCAGTTGTTGGGGGTCCTGCAGGAGTGACAATATTACCTCTTTTATCTGAGGTTTGTGGTGTATTCTTCCTAATGAGAACTTCTTATATGTTCGACAGCAAGGCTATTAGAAATTGCACTTTTCTGTAGAATGCTGAACGTCAGTTGGCATTTTCAAAATCTGTAGGTTAAACCACCTTGTTCTTCACTCCTCAAGATTACCTGACATCGCACATCCAAAATGGCGGCACAGAAGTTGTCGAGGTAAATAAATTTCGATTTGTTGTGGATTTAGATGTCAATTTTGGCAGTGTTGACTTCATATCACGTTCCATTAGTCTCTTCAGTTTTGGGCTTCAGGTGGTATAATAGTGTTTTAGCTGTTCTAGTGATGTTCATTTTGTTAAGGGCTTGTGACAAAAGCTTCGGAGTACTTAGGCCACCTAAGGAGAACACTGTTACAAGCAAGCAATTATGTCTCCCAGACATGTGACTGCATGCTTAATCATGTTAGAGTCTGTAAATTCTTTAAATTCACAAGCCATTTCGAAGATGTACTCTGCTGAGAAGTTTCTTTATGAGAAGGGTGAGATTTTGTCAAGAATCACTTCTTAGGTCCATGTGGGCATAAATCCTGTACCGAACATTAGAGAGCTTGTTATCATCTCTACTTGTAGAGGAAAAGGAATTCGATTTACGAATGCCACCTTGGCAACCTATCCACTACCACTACACAAGAAAGGTGTTAATAAAGATCTGCTGGAATTAATGGGACACCTCACTTGTGGAAGTATGTACAAGGTGATTACTTCGTCTTCGGCTATAGGCACTAGACAGAAGCAAGCAGTTGGGGAGAATATCTTAGTTTCTGATTATTTTGTCTGGTCATCATTAAGGAAAACAAAGGAAGGTAACAGAAAGAATGTAGGGACAGAGCACCGCACATCTTTTGTTGTTATGGCTAAGAGAATGACTTGCAATTGATAGTAAGTGGAGAAGTTCATCTTGAAGTGATCGTTGATGTCTACACGAAACTGGATTTTTCTGCATCTATTTCCACACTGAAATTATGACATGACGTCTTAGTCTTCACTTCTATGCTTCCCTATATTATGTCTTGAAGCCAACTGAATTGTGTAAAAAATGAAATATGCTGGCATATGTTCCTGTCAAGTTTGGCGATGCGTGCCTATGTGGGTTGAGGGGCGACGCGGCATTGTTGAGTGTGCATTTGTTGCTTTTCAGGTTTGGTGCCTTGGAAAAACTTATCAAGATCCAATCCTTTAACTTCTCTTGAATTCAAACTGAAAAAACCAATGGTTTTCTTTATTGTTGTCCCTATTTTCAGGTGACTGAGCTTCCGTTCTTTGCATCCAACGTGCACCTCGGTCGTACTGGGGCCGAGGAGGATCTTCTCCTTGGCCCACTGAATGAGTACGAAAGGTCTGGAGTTGATTACATCAAAGGAAGATGAAGTTTTTTAATCTCAGCCTTTGTTTGTTAAACTGTAGAGCTGGCTTGGAAGAGGCAAAGAAAGCGTTAACGGAGACAATTCAGAAGGGCAACTCATATATCAAGAAGTGAGCAGCTTAAAGACGTGGCTTTTTGGTTCTCGGGGTAAGTGGTTCAGATCTAGGAAAATATAGAAGTTCATTCTGCATAGCTAACATAGAAAAATGACTAGTTTTTCTTTTCTTGCATGTAGCGTACTAAAATTGTTATTTGTGTAATAACAGGGTGGACGGATGTTTGTATATCATTGTCCTATGTCCATCTCTCTCATGTTCGCGTTCCTGACTTTCTTATGCACCCGTAATGTCACCTCCATGTAGCACTATCAGTTGTGCGACGCCGCAATTTGCACATGAGAGAGTGGGTGCTGGATAAGCAGAAGCCAATCTTTTGACTCAAGTGCAGCTCTTTATGGCCTTGTCCAGAAGATTTAAGAGACAAACGAGCAAGAGAGCCGTTAAAGAGGCTTTTCATGGGTGTAGCGGGCAGAGGGAGTTGAAATCTGTCAGCTGGACACAATAGCACAAGATTGAGAATTTTAAATTGGAGATGCCTCTCCGGAGATTCGCCCTAATCACCAGCAGCAATTTCTCAGCCCACATTCTCCTTATGTGGAGCTTTCAGTAAAAGACATAATGGGTGGACAGCCCAAGATGGGCCAAACCCGGCCCGTGAACCATAAGGGCCCACAACGTAGTTATTTGCCTATCACTATAAATAGTGGGCACCCCTTGGAAAAACTAACATGTTTTTCCATATGCAAAAGAACACACTCTTTCGAACATAACGTTTTCTCTATTTTTGCTTCGGAACGCAAACGAGTACGAAAGACGTTCGAAGAACTCTCAAGCGCAAAGTAGCATTTAATCTGTGACAATACCGGGTATGTTCGTTGTGTGATATGTCTGTACGATTGGTGATACAAGTTGATGGTCCTCGGGCACGTTTTCCGCATTGATCGAATTCGTTTCGAATATGTTTCGAATGTGTCGATCGGGAATTGAGTTTTCCCAACATTGGTATCAGAGCCCGCTTACTTGTTTCCCGATCATGCATGTGTATCGTCTCTAACATTGAAGTGTGTACTGTTTGTTTTTCGTTTCGGCCTCGTTTTTTTTTTTGTTCGTTTTCTTCGCGTCGCCGAACTATTCATGCATGTTTCGATTTTTTTTTCATCAAAACTTGAATTTTATTGCATGGACAGAAAGTGCTCGTCGAGACGAGCAAAGTGAGGGGCAGCGCGTCGCCTGAGGAGGCTGCACACGCCCTCACGCGCCGACAAGGGCCGTGGGTGCGACGGTGCGTGAGGCCCACGTGCGGCCGTGGCGAAAAGGTGCGTCGGCGTCGCCAACCGCCGACGATGACGTAGCGTGGCGTCATCGGAGGGCGGACCCGAGATTCGACCCGTTGACCGTTGACCCAACCCGGTTGATCGTTGACCTGACCCGATTGAACGTTGACCGGTCAACGGTCGAACCGTTCAAACCGGTTGAATCGGACCGGTTCAGACACGGGCATAACGACCCCATTGTGTTCTTTCGGCCCGTTTGAGCTCATTTGAACTCCGATTTGGGCGTTCTTGGTATTGACGTGCTCGTATCAGAATGCTTTACATTATGGTATATTCATATGACATTTTTGATGCACTTATGAATGTGAAAATGCACGATAAACCCCATGTACACGTACTTAGGGGTATATTCTTTGGCATTTTCTCTAGTATTTTTCTATAGTTTTTTGAAATACAAGTGCTAGATCATATGTATATGAATAAGCATTCCTTATCTTAATGTATGATGGATTATAAGTAATCCATTTGTTCTGCATTCGTTGCAGGAACAATGGTACATTGGAGACACACTCCGATAATAGCAAGAACGGCAGCTCAAAAGGAGAGGCTTGACAAACTAAGAATCAAGCTAGCTCTTTATCGATGGGACGCTAGAGATGATATGATGACACACATCATCAAGGTCAACAAAATGATACAAGATGTCATTTGGAACGGTTTTGTAATGCCGGAATATGAAATGGTCGGAGCCCTAAAATGCACTATTCCCGAGGAGTTGGGAAGAATTCTTGATAAGGTTAAAGAAACCTTAAAGGGTCCAAGCTATAAGATGCTTGTGGAGAATTTTTTGCAAGAATACATATGGGTCGGGGCAAGGAGAACATCAACCCTTGCATTGAATAGGTCTCGGGGCAAATCATGGCCCGGATCTAGAGGTTTTCGGGGAGCCTCCGTTTTTGTTCCAAAGAAAATAGAATTTTCTAAAGAATTTTATGAGTCATTTCCTGTCTATATATTAGATTGGTACACTTGATATTGTTCTTTTAGGATTTGGAATCAATTATGTACATATTTCAAGTTGATATTACATATTCTTAAATATTTGTGAATGTGTTATGAAATATATATGGCTATGAATTTTTGTGATTTCTCATTTTATATTGCCATATTATATGTTATGTTATATGTGGGAAGTTCTTAAAAATTTGTATAACTTTTGAAGAACCAATTTCTTTACAGAAATGATTATGTTAATGGTAATTTCAAATTAGGATTTTTAGACGATGATTGGGAACGTAGTGAACTTTCGACTCTAAGACTTTTTGTGAAACTATTCATTAATATTATTAGTTTATGTAATCATGATGCTGATGCAAGCATTTAGATAGGCTTTAATAATTTGTGCGTATGTGTCTGAAATGTTCAGATACGATGGCTGCAGTAACTAAGAACATAGTGGCTGAACTTAATAAGGGAGAAAAATTGAATGACGAAAATTATGAGATTTGGAGTCTCAAGATTCAATATGTGCTGGAAGAGCAAGAGGCACTCGAAGCTCTTAACCAGATTATGGAAAAACCTGAGGATGGGACAACTGCCCAACACAAAAGGGACAAAGATGCCTTTGCTGTTTGGAAAAGAAAGAACTCTCTTGCTCGCATTACGTTGCTAAGCAGCATGGACAATGATATCATGCGAGAGTTCGGACGTTTTCAGAGCGCCAAAGACATGTGGGCTGCACTAGCATCAAAATTTGATCCAACTTCTGTGACCAAACTGAGACAACTCACTATCCGTTTCGACTCATACAAGATGTCTCATGGAAAGACCATGAAACAACATTTGAGGCAGATGTCAAATATGATTAGTGAGCTAAAGGATGCCGGCCACATACTCACTGATGAACAAAGAGTTGCAGGCGAGTAATCCGCTCCTTGCCTCAAAGCTGGGAGCACATGAAGATCCATTTGACCCACATTGAGGGTATCAAGACCTTCGAGGATGCTATGCGGCATCTTGAGCTGGAAGAGGATCGCCTCATGGCGGCTAAGCCATAAACTGATATTTACTTTGCTGGTTCTAGCTTGCATGGAGTTTCGGGCTCCAAGAGGAAGTACCCTACTGGGTCAAAGAAGTGGAAAGGCAAGGGAGCAAGTCCTTCAGGGAAGAAGACGAGGCACAACCAACGGGAAAAAGGAAAGCGTCCTTTCAAGAAGAACATTTCAAGAGTGAAATGTTACAACTGTGGCAAGAAGGGTCACTTTGCTCGTGACTGTGGCGAGCCAAAGAAGGTAGAAACCCTTAGCATTAATGAAAATGCTACTTATGTGTCTAGTTCAGTGTTTCTAACTGAATCTAATCCTTTGTGGACTGTAGACTCGGGAGCCACAGACCATGTAGCGAAGGACAGAGAAGCTTTCGTGGAGTTCCGATGAGTTCCACAAGAAACGAAGTGGATATACGTGGGGAACAATTCAAGAGTGGAGGTCAGAGGCATTGGCACCTGTCAACTACTTATGAGCGGTGGACGCACATTGTTCCTACATGATGTGCTATTCGCTCCAGAGATTCGTCGGAACTTAGTTTTGGTGTTGGTTTTAGTTAGACTTGGTTTTAATGTAAACTTCCATAATAATGGTGTAGACTTGTCTTTAGGTACAAGTTATTATGGTTCCGGATATTATTTAGATGGTTTCATTGTATTAGATGTTAACTATTGTGAAGTTAATGTTAGTTATTCCTTATTTACATCATCTGATTCTTATGATAATGATGTGAACGTGTGGCATGCTAGACTTGGTCATATTGGCCAACAAAGAATGAATCGATTGGTTAAAGATGGCTTATTGGGCAATATTAAAAAGGTTGATTTGCCCATATGTGAGCATTGCCTAGAAGGAAAAACGACGTGGAAACCATTTGGAAAAGGAACAAGAGCTTAATTTCCTTTGCAATTAATCCATACTGACATCTGTGGTCCAATGAATGTAAAAGCAAGGTACGGGTCTGTTTATTTCATCACATTCATTGATGATCATACTCGATTCAGACATATCGATTAGATTTCTCATAAGTCCGAGGCTTTAAATTGCTTTAAAAGATTTATGAGCTTAGTGGAAAATCAATTGGACAAAAAAATAAAAGCATTAAGATCCGATCGAGGTCGAGAATATCTGTTTGATCAGTTCAGAATTTTATGTGATGAAAAGGGAATAGAAAGACAACTGACTATTCCATATACTCCTCAACAAAATGGTGTTGCGGAAAGAAGAAACAGAACATTAATGGAAATGGTTAGATCAATGATGGCACAAGCTAACTTGCCTATCACTTTTTGGGGTGATGCTTTGTTGACTGCTGCCTACATACTTAACCGTGTGCCTTCTAAATCAGTTGCTTCTACTCCATATGAGTTATGGACAGGCAGAAAGCCTTATTTAAGTTTTCTAAAACCTTGGGGTTGTGCTGCCTATACTCGTGAGTCTTCTCACAAGTATGGAAAATTAGGCCCAAGAGGCAAAAAGAGTATTTTTATAAGATACTCAGAGCACTCAAAAGGATATGTATTTATAGGTAAGCAAGAAAGCGGAAGTATAACTGAATTTGAATTACGGGATGTCACATTCTTAGAGAATGAATTTCCTAAAAAGGGCGAAGTAGGTGAAGGTTACTCACTATACGAATCTGTGGATCGTGATAGTGAAGTTAGTGGGAGCATTGTGACAAATGAAGAGTTGAATGCAACCCAGTCTCAATTGCAACCACTTAAAGAGACAACACCACCATTATCTAATTCGAGTGGGAGCGCAATGGAACGTGGTGAATCATCAGGAGTACAGCATTCCATACGACAGTCAAGTCGTAATAGGATTTCCCGTCGACATTTTGACATTGAATGAGAAGCTTTCATGATCGCCCCACAAGATGAAGATGAGCCGAAGAATGTGAAAGATGCTCTAATGTGCCCTGATAAGGAAAAATGGATATATGC